TGACAGCAACATAATAATAGTAGAGGACCTCAACACCCCACTTCTGTCAATGGATAGATCATCCAGACAGAAAGTCAACAAGGAAACAATGGCCTTAAATGAAACACTAGACCAGATGGACTTAATAGATATATACATAGAACATTCCACCCAAATACAGCAGAATACACATTCCTCTTAAGTGTACACAGAACATTCTCAAAGATAGACCATATGTTGGGAAAGAAGGCAAGCCTCAATAAATTTAGGATGACTGAAATTATATCAGGTATCTTTTCAGACCACAATGCTATGAAACTAGAAATCAACTGCAAGAAAAAAGCTGGGAAAGTCACAAATATGTGGAGACTAAACAACACACTACTGAACAACCATTGGATCAATGAAGAAATCAAAGGAGAAATTAAAAAATACCTGGAGACAAATGAAAATGAAAACAACATATCAACTCTTATAGGATGTAGCAAAAGCAGTACTAAGAGGGAAATTTATGGTAATACAGGCTGACCTCAACAAACAAGAAAAATCTCAAATAAGTAATCTTAAATCACACCTAACAGAACTAGAAAAAGAAAAAATAAAGCTCAAAGTCAGCAGAAGGAGAGGAATAATAAAAATTAGAGAAGAAATAAATGAAGTAGAGAATAAAAAAACAATAGAAAGGATCAATGAAAGTAAGGGCTGGTTCTTTGAGAAGACAAACAAAATTGACAAACTCTTAGCTAGCCAGACTCACTAAGAAAAAAGAGAAAAGGCTCAAATAAATAAAATTAAAAATGAAAGAGGAGAAATTAAAATGGATGCCACAGAAATACACAGGATTATAGGAGAATACTATGAAAAACTATATGCCCACAAATTGGATAACCCACAAGAAATGGATAAATTCTTAGACTTATACAACCTCCCAAAACTGAATCAAGAAGAAATAGAGAATCTGAATAGACCAGTCACAAGTAAAGAGATTGAAACAGTAATCAAAAACCTCCCGGGGCCAGCCTGGTGGCATAGTAGTTAAGTTCATGTGCTCCATTTCAGTGGCCTGGGGTTTGCAGGTTCAGATTCCAGGTGCGAACCTAGCACTGCTCATCGAGCCACACTGTGGTGGCATCCCACATAAAACAGAGGAAGACTGGCACAGATGTTAGCTCAGTGAAAATCTTCCTCAAGCAAAAAGAGGAAGATTGGCAACAGGTGTTAGTTCAGAGCCAATCTTCCTCACAAAGAATATGTCCCAAAAATCAAAAGTCCAGGATTGGGGCCAGCCCCGTGGCCAAGTGGTTAAGTTCACATGCTCCGCTTCAGCAGCCAGGGGTTTCACTGGTGCGGATCCTGGGCACAGACATGGCACTGCTCATCGGACCACATTGAGGAGGCGTCCCACATGCCACAACTAGAAGGACCCACAACTAAAAATACACAACTATGTGCTGGGGGGGATTTGTGGAGAAAAAATTAAAAGAAGATTGGCAACTGTTGTTAGCTCGGGTGCCAATATTTAAAAAAAAAAAAAGTCCAGGGTCTGATGCCTTCTCTGGAAAATTCTACCAAACATTCAAAGAAGATTTCATAACTATTCTTCTCAAACTATTCCAAAAAACTGAAGTCACTCCAACAAATGTTGGAGAGAATGTGGAGAAAAGGGAACACTCATACACTCCTGGTGGGAATGCAAACTGGTGCAGCCACTATGGAAAACAGTATGGAGATTTATAAAAAAATTAAAAATAGAACTACCATATGATCCAGCTATCCCATTACTGAGTATATATCCAAAGAACATGAAATCAACAATACAAAGATATCTATGCACTCCTATGTTCATTGCAGCATTAACTCACAATAGCTAAGACAAGGAAGCAACCCAAATGCCTATCAACTGATGAATGGATAAAGAAGATGTGGCATATATACATAATGGAATGCTACTCAGCCTTAAAAAGACGAAATTGTCCCATTTGCAACAACATGGACAGAGCTTGAGGGTATTATGTTAAGCAAAATAAGCCAGATAGAGAAAGACAAACATGATATGATTCCACTCATATATGGAAGATAAACAAATACATGGATAAAGAGAATAGACTAGTGGTTACCAGAGGGAAAGGGGCTAGGGATAGTGGGCCAAAGGGGTAAAGGGGCACAAATGTATGGTGACATATAAAAACTAGACTATTGGTGGTGAGCACAATGCCATCTATACAGAAATTGATATATCGTAATGTACACCTGAAATTATACAATACTATAAACCAATATGACCTCGACAAAATAATTTTTAAAAAATGTAAACACTTTTGAACCAGCGCTTTCATTTCTAGAGAAATAATTAGGACATGCACAAAAATTAAGCTAGAAAGACTGCCACATATTATTTATATAATAGGAAAAATAAAATTAATTCAGTATTTATTAAAAAGAAAAATCCAACATTTGTCTAGCCGAACTTCAAAACCCCTATGGATAAATGATTCCTTTTTACTCTCCATTTGCCCCCACTGGAACTGCAATGTCTGTAGCAATTATCTTGTACTTGTCCCACAATTGTATAGGGGGAGCACTGGGGGCATACAACTTGTCTCTTTAGCTCCACAAGTCCATAGATATAGAGATGTGCCCCAGAGCAGATGACTTCTAGGATTCTTATCCACACCTGTTTGAAACTATTTAGATGATAAGATTTTGAACTTTGAACTAATGAGATTTTGATGAGGCTTTGGACTTGAGCTGATACTGTAATGAGATGAGATTTTTAGGAACCTTGGGATGAGATAAAAGTGGGATGCATGTGGGATGAAAATTAATCTTCTGAGACCCACAGGGTGGGCTGCGCTAGGCAGAATTCTAAGATTGCCAACATTCTGGTCCCTGATGTACATGCACCCTCCTCCATTTTTTTAAGCAAACACTAAGCTAGGCGCTGCTTGAAAGGATTTTGCAGATGTAGTTTTTGTCCCAAATCAACAGATCTTAAAATGGGGGATTGATGTAATCACACAAGCCTTTAAATCTGGGTCTAGGGGGTCAGAGACAGAGCAGTTAGAGAGATTCAAGTGTGAGACGGATTCAACACAAGGGAGATTCTTGTTTGCGGGCTTTGGAGCTGAAGGGGTCCATGTGAGCAGTAACATGAACAGCCTCTCAGAACTGTAAGCAGCTCCTAGCTGACAGCCAGCAGGGAAATGGCGACTTCAGTACTACACCCACAGAAAATTGAATTCTTCCAATAACCTAAATGAGCTTGGAAATAGATTCTACCTTAGAACCTTCAGCTGAGAACTCATCCTGGCTGATCCTTTGATTTCAGCCTTTAAGACCATAAGCAGAAAACCCAACTACACTACGCTAAACTTCTGACCTACAGAACTGTGAGCTAATAAATGGGGGTTGTTTTAAGCCACTGTGTTTGTGGAAACATTTTTTACACAGGAATAGAAAACAAACACACCTTGTAAAGCATATCTACAACAAAACCTTCAACAAACATTATCCAAACTGTAAAATCATTAGAATCACTCTGTGTAAATCAGGAACAATGGTATAAAACCAGAGATGCTTGGTGCAATCAATAATACATTGGTGGTTCTGATCCAAAGAAAGCATGAAATTAGAGATCTGAGGATAGGAAAATAAGAAATAAAATCATCGTTATTTGCATACTCCCTACATAGAAAACCTCCCCAAATTAACTTTTAGCTAGCTGGCTGGATATAGCATCAATATTTAAAAGTCAAATTCATTTCTTTATACCAATCACAGACATTTTAAAAATGTAATTAAAGCTACACCAAATTACCCTCCATTGAGTTGTAACAATGTAGGTTCACTTCTCTTCTCCTTCACGCTTGCCAACAAATGTGCTTTTGAATCTATGTGCTTATGCCAATCTAATATGCAATCATAGTTTCTCAATATTTTTTTAATATTTATTGAGGTATAAGTGTATACAATAAAATCACGGATCTTAGGTGTACATTTAGATGAGTTTTGACTAGCGTATAAACTTGTAAACAAGGCTTATAGAACATTACATTACTTTAAAAGTCCCATCCTGTCCCTTTCCAGTCCTCCTCACTAGAAGGAATTACTATTCTAATATCTAGCCACATAAATTAATTTTGCCTGTTTTGGAAATTCATAAAAATAGATTTCTATAGTGTGCACTCTTTGCTACCTAACTTCTTCAGCTGAGCATGTTTTTGTTGAGATTCCTCCAGATTGTTGATTCTGTCAGTGTTTCCCTCCTTTTTATTTCTGAGTGATATCCCTGGTATTAGTATACCACGGTATGTTCATCCATTCCAAACATTCAGCTATTTTGAATAAAGCTGTTATAAACATTTCAGTACAAGTCTTTTTGTAGACATATGTTTTTACATTTCTTGGGAAAATACCATTTGTTGAAAAAGGCTACTTTCCTCCACTGAATTGTATTAGTATGTTTATTTAAAAGTATTTGACCATATGTGCATATGTTTCTGGACTCCCTACTTTCTTCCACTGATGAATTTGTTTGGCCTTACACCAAGACTACACTGATTACTCTAGCTGGAAACTACCTCAATAAGTACTTTACATTTTTTTAAATGCAATTTTTCTCTGCAATGTGCATACATGAGTTTCTCAACCAGGCTATTCATATAAGTTTGGAGAATGAAGCAGTTTCCTTGAGAGATGGTCTTTGTTGTTACTAAGGGGACTTACTTCCATAGTAACCCAGGGTATTTGCAAGTGGTCCTTTAAAATAGACATGAGCCAAAGTACTTGGAAGACTGATTTAATTTTCTGGGACATTCCAGTTGGGATTATATTTTAAGGGAGTAGGGGATTATTAGATCAGTCACACATCTTTCAATTGTATCATAATTTCTCAAAGGTCAGTGAGTGCAATAAAATTTTAAATTAGTATCCAGGTCTCCAAATTTCTGAGTAGTCGCTCTGAAAGTGAAAGTATGCTTTTAACTGTGTTGACAATGAACACTTTCTGTTCTACTTCCCAGTTCCAAGTTTTTGTTCCTTCCGCTATGGATTATCTATCCTCCTGCATGTCTGTAATGTATTAATAATGTCACAACGCATGTGTGTGAGCCTCACAATGGTAGTCATGGTGAACAGGACGGATCCACATGGTTTACCCAATACCTCCACAGAGGAGCTCCTGGATAACATAAAGGTATATCGAAAATATTATCCACAGTCATAAGTTTAAAATCCCATTTTCCTAACTAATTTGCATAGAGATTGAATGTTATCATAATCGATATGACAGTAATAATTAGAAAAAGAAGCTTAAGTTTTGATCTACATTGCTAGTAGTAACCTAAATAAACATGTCCTTGATTAAAGTATGCCTCAATATTGTGAAGGGCTTTGTTGTGTGAATCCCTTTATGTGAAGAAGAATAAAAACCAAAAGTTAGGGCCTCTTTAGAATTGAGAAGTTGGGACAAGAGAAAAAAGGGAAAGCATTTTAAAACAGAAGTGAAAGTCAAGACACATTCTCTTTTTTTAAGTTTTGACCAGGCCATATATTTACACATTTAATTTCATCTCTGAAAGGTAAGGAGTTGTTACTTGTCAGAAAATGTAGTACAGGAAGAAATGGAAATGAGTGGGAAGAATACTTTTTCACTTTACTCTTCCTATGTTCCTTTATGAATGCACAGGCAAATATGAACATATTTTCTTATTTTCACTCCTTTTTTACATTAAAAATAATGCTCTATATGCAAGGTACTGCACCTTGACTTTTTTTTTTACATAGTCATCAGAACAAGGCTCACACATGACGCAAATGTAGGAATTCCCAGACAGGGAGTTTAGAATAACTATAATTAATATGTTAAGGGTTCTAATGGAAAAAGTTGGCAACATACAATACCAGATAGGTAATGTCAGTAGACAGATGGAAACTATAGGAAAGACTTAAAAACAAAGAGTAGAAATCAAGGCAACTTTAATAGAAGAAAGAACGCCTTGATGGGCTCGTATGTAATCTCAGCACAGCTGAGGAAAGAATCAGTGAACTTGAATATAGATCGATAGACACTCCCCAATCTGAAATAAAAGAGAAGGGGGGGTGGAGCTTAACAGAACATCCCAGAACTGTGGACAGTATCATAAGGTGTAACTTGTGCATGGCTTGAACCGCAGAAAGAGAAGTCAGAGAGAATGGCAAGAAGAACTATTTTACAAATTAATGGCTGAGAACTTTGCAAAATAAATGCCGACACCAAACCACAAAACCAAGAAGATCAGAGAACACCAAACAGGATAAATACCAAAAAGAAAAATAATTAACAACAAGAAAAACCACCTAGACATACATACATAATTAAATTGCAGAAAACCAAGAGAAAAAGAACATCTTGATAAAGCCAGAGGAAAAAAACAACCTTACCTACAGAGGAACAAGGATAAGAATTACAGAAGATTTCCTGTCAGAAACCACTCAAACCAGAAGAGAGAAATGAAATCTTTAAAGCGGTGAAAGTAAAAAAAACAAAAAAACAAAAAAACAACAACAAAACAAAATCCTGCCAAGCTAGAATTCTATATCCAATGCACAGGCAAATCTGAACATATTTTCTTATTTTAACTCTTTTTTACATTAAAAATAATGCTCTATATACAAGGTATTGTGCCTTGATTTTTTTTTTTTTTACATAATCATCAGAACTAGGCTCACATATGACATACTTCACATATGACATACTTCACGAGTGAAAGAGAATAAAGACTTTTCAGGCAAATAAAACCTGAGGGAATTCATTGCTAGCAGGCCTGCCATGCAAGAAATGTTAAAAGACAGCAGATTTTAGTCCAACTATATCAATAATCACTTTAAATGTGAATGGTCTATATACACCAGTAAAAAGATAGAAATTGTCAGATTTGATAAAAATCCCCAAATGTGGTGTCCATAAGAAACCCGCCCTGAATTCAAAGACTCAAATAGATTAAAAGTAAAGGGATGAAGAAAGATGCAAACATTATGCAACCAGGCAAACGCTAATCAAAAGAAAATTGAAGAAGCCATATTAATTTCAGACAAAGCAGAATTTATAATAAGGAAGATTATCAGAGATAAAGAGGGTATTACTTAATGACAAAGGGATCAATTCTCCAAGAAGACATGATAATTTTAAGCATGTATGTCCCTAACAATAAAGCATCAAAATACAGAATGCAAAAACTGCTAGAACTGAAACAAGAGATAGAAAACTATAAAATTGGTAACTGTTTTCTGTTTTTAACATTTGTTTTTGGTTTCCTTTCTTTTTTTCATTCCTTTTTTTGGCTCTTCTGAGTTTGAGTATAGTATATGATTAAATTTTCTCTCTTTTTTTGATGTATCATTTATAGTTTAAAAAATCTGATTTAGCGGTTACCTTTAGGTTTACCATATACAATTTTTAATAATCCAAATCCACCTTCAAATAACACTATCCTGCTTCATGTTTAGTATAGATACTCTATAACAGAGCATTCCCAATTCCTCTCTCCCATTCTCCGTGACACCGATGTTACTTATTTCACTTATCCACATGCTATAAATACCCAGTACATAATTACATTATTGCTTTAAACAAATAGTTATCTTTTAGATCAATTCAAAGTAAAATAATTTACGCCTTCATTTATTCCTTTCTGGTGCTCTTCCTTTTTTGTGTAGACCCATGTTTCTGAACTACGTCATTTTCCTTTTCCATGAAGAACTTCTATTAACATTTCTTTTGTAGGTTGTGCTTTTGTTTTCTACATCTAAGATTTTTGCATAGCCCAAGGTAAAAAAAAATTGCCTATGTTTTCTTCTAGAAGTTTTATAATTTCAGGTTTTACATTTACATGTATGATCCATTTTGACTTTATTTTTGTATATGTTGTGTTGAAGATCCTTTTTTATATATGGATATACAATTGTTCTGGCACCATTTATTGAAAAGACTCTTCTATCTCCACTGAATTGTCTTTCAACGTTTGTTGAAAAATCAGTAGTTGTGGGATTAACATGTCCTACCTGATTTTAAGCGTGGTCATAAAGTTATAGCAATCAAGACAGTGTGGTATTAGCATAAAGACAGAAAAATAATGAAATAGAGTTCAGAAATAGACTCACACACATATGAGCTACTGATTTTTTCATGATCCACAAAAGAACAAACATAAAATTGGATTTCATCAACATTCAAAGTACACTGTTAAGAGAATGAAAAGACAGCCCAGAGGCAGGGGAAAATATTTGCAAATCATATCTAATAAAGGAATTCTATAAAAATTCAATACAAATGAAATAAAAAAAAACAGAAGAAAGATGTGAACAGACGCTTCACCAAAGAAGATATATGATGGCAAATACTCCAATGAAATGATGCTCCAAATCATTAGTCATTAGGGACAAGCAAATTAAATCCACAAAGATTTATTCCTACACAGCAATTCAAATGGCTAAAATTATAAAAATTGGACATACCAAGTGTTGTCGGGAATGTGGAGAAACTGAAATCCTCCCACACTGCTGGTGAAAATGGTATAACCACTTTAGTTAAGCTTGCACCTACCATATGATCCAGCCATTCCACTGCTAGGTATTTACTGTAGAGAATTGAAAGTATATGTTCATACAGAGAATTGCACATCACTGGAAACAACCAAAATATTCATCAATAGGTGAATGAATGCACAAACTCTGGTACATCAATAAAATGGAGTACTTAGCACCAAAAGGAAATGAACTATTGATACACAGAACAACATGGATGAAACTCAAAATAATTATACTGAGTGGAATAAGCTAGATGAAAAAAAATAGTGCCGACTGTCTGACTCCATTTATATAAAACTTCTAGAAAATGAAAACTAAGCTATAGTAAGAGTCAGCAGATCAGTGATGGGGGAGGAGCAGGAAGTAGCAATTACAAAAATAGTAAAGAATCTTTTGGAGGTGAAGAGTATGGTCATCCTCTTGATTGTGGTGATAGTCTCATGAGTATACCCATATTTAAAAATTTATCAAGTTGTATCCATTATGCCAAAGATTAAATGTGCAGTTTATTGTGTCAATTGTACCTCAAAAATCTGTTGAAACCTATCTATTCAGGGGCCGGCCCAGTGGCATAGTGGTTAAGTTCGCGTGCACCGCTTTGGCGCCCAGGGTTTGTAGGTTCGGATCCCAGGCATGGACCTAGCACCGCTCGTCAAGCCACACTGTGGCAGCATCCCACATAAAATAGAAGAAGATTGGCAACAGAAGGTAGCTCAGAGCCAATAGTCCCCACAAAAAAAACAAATCTATCTAATTCAAAAACTTTTTCTTGAACTATATTCTTAAATATTTGTAGTATTCCATTGTTTTGGTTTAAATATTGAGAACCGCATTTCCTAGAGAAATGGCTGCTCACAGGGGACCATACTTTATACGCCTCTCTGTAGCAACAGAGGAAGGAGTTCAAGCTGTGGAGCTTGGAACATTTTTCTGGTCCATTCACCCCCACCAAGGGACCTCCTGCTACAATCCAGGAAAATTGATCTTCTTCGAGTATGAGTCACAGAAAAGAAATTCTGTTTGCTGTTATACAAAGATACTCAGTGAAGAAATGAAGAAATAGAGCATATAATCATCCTAAAATATGAAAACTCAGAAAGTTGTTTCCATGAAGCAGATCTAAATTGTAACCTGAAATTACAAAATGAGCCTAAAAACTAGCACAGCAATTATAGCTACAGAAGGAATACCACCATGCAGCATATACAGGAGCTCAAAGTAGAGATGACCAGGCTGTGCTCAGACAGCAGATGAATGAAAAAAGGAAATTGACAGAACTCAGTAAAGGATTATGAAAAAACAAGACAGAAGATTTTAGAAAAGAAAAGACAAAATAACAAGGAAAACAAGAGAGAACAGGAACCACAGAGAGCACAGTAAGGGACACTGAGTATAGAAAAGAAAAGGAAGGAAGATGAGAATGAAGGTGATACACATGAACAAGGAGTATTCTGTAATAGGGTTTCCCCCTGCCACAATAGCCAAGGAGTAGGTATCATTATTCTATTTAAAATTCACCAATCTGATAGTTAGAAATTCTGCCATAACTGTAAAATATTCTTTTATTATTAATGGAATTGCACAGTTTTGTATTTCTATGACCTATATTTATTGGTCATGTCCATTTTTTTCTCTCGTAAATTATCTATTGATATCCTTAGTGCATTTTACCTATTGGGGCATCATCTATTTGCTTTTCATTTATATGACTCATACAGATGAATATATATTTATTCCTAAGACTTATATAGGGTAATTTATATATTTATATGTGGAATACTTTGTTCAATGACAACTAGTTAATGCATTAAATAGGGAAATATCAACTGAGGTTTTATCCATCTGGTGTGGGGAATTTCAGTCTGAGCTTAGTGGTTTTAATCCAATTATGGTAGGCTCTTTCTCTAAGAAGAGAAAGAATGATGGCTCTTAAAGAGTGATGGCTTTAGGGTATAAGAAAAACAACCCAAGATTTTGAGTGATGTGTTCACGTGCACAGGGAAGGTTGAATCAATGTGTGCTGGACCACCTGATGTAGGTAAGGGTGAGTACTGATTTCCATGGCGCAACTCCTGTGATTTAAAAAAACATGGAAGAGCATTGTGTTCCATCCTCTGGAAAGCCTCTCACCAAAGGTCTGGAGCTTCCATGCCCCTCCAGTAGCCCTTCCATGCTACTTTATGGATGCCCCTCACTGTTATTATTCGATATCCTCAGAGTGGTACTCTTACCAGAGCTCTCATGAAAGCTTTTTTCTCTCAGACAGAGACATCACTATCCAGAGGCCACAGCCACAGGATGACAGGGATTTGAGAAGGGGAGAAAAAAAGAGGAAAGAAGGTGACAAGACATTAGTGATGAGAGAACAAACACATAGATTCCTACCTATTTCCTTATTTCGTATTCAACCAAAAATACCACTTGGACCATTAACTCCTTATTCAATAAAATCCTTCATTACTTAATATATTCCTCTTAATTATGCAACTAGCAGAGAAAGTTTAGAGAAGGGGACTATCTTGGATGCTTCCAAAGAAGCTTTATCCTGCCCTCATCTACTATCCTGAAAGTTTCTCCCTTTCCAGTGAGCCAAAAATCACATGCAACCTGCTCCCCAGAGTCTCAACCATAAGTTCATTATTAAGAATTTCTTGGACCAACTTTAACAGTGCAACAAAACCATAGAAGCTTCCCTAACCTGAGGATTGACAGAGAAATCCACTCCCGGGAAAGACAACAAAACAGGCCACATCAGAGCCAAGCAAAAGAAGAGAAATGGCCTTTTTCTTTCACTGTCCCACCCAATTATTTCCATAGTTCAGCCCGAGAACATCTCATCATGAGTTGATCTTCTATCTATGGCTATTTTTCTCTCCGGGAACGGTGCGTATGTGGACAAGTGTTGTTTTGTGAATGAGGCTAACTTAATGGAGGAGTTAGAAGAAGAGAAGAGGCAAGAGCAATCTAATGATGGAAGTAGATCTCATACTATATAGCGCTCTGCAGACACGTTTACATGTAGTTTAGCAACACTGAAGAGACAGGTATTAAATGCTTATGCTGTGACAGGTACTGGGGATACAGATGGTACCCTTGACTTGCAAGGACTTTACATTACAGTTGAGGATACCAAAGATTAAACGTAACTACACACAGAAAATAATGTTATAAAAGAATGAAGAAGTTCCCATGACAGAGAATATTAGGCAGAGGGGAGCTACTTTACACAGGGTGAGCTGGAAGACCAATTTTCCCACATCCCTGAATATCATGGTAAATCACCAGTATGCAGAGCAGCTAGATTTATCTCCTCTTTTCTTTCAGAACCCCGTGTATAATTGGAGCCCTGAAATCCAGGGGATCATCTTCAGTTCCATCTTCTATGGTTCAGTTATCTTCCAAATTCCTGCTGGATACTTATCTGGAATATACTCCGTAAAGAAAATGGTTGGCTCTACATTATTTGTCAGCTCTCTAATTAATTTGTTCATCCCACTGGCAGCTCAAGTTGGAGAAACTTTGGTCATTGTGTGCCGAGTAGCCCAGGGAGTAGCCCAGGTATTAAGATAATGCAAAAACTGAACAGGGTTTAAATTCACAGAAAGTATCAGAGATCAAATGTCCTAATCCGTCGCATTTCAGGGGACAGTAGCAGCAGCTCAGCAAGTAATATGGATCAAATGGGCTCCTCCCTTGGAACGAGGCCGACTTACCTCTATTAGTATATCAGGTAATGACTTGGGCCTAGAATATTTGAATACCATTGTCACCTCATTTTATCATGTTATTCCCTAGAGCCATAAGAAACATGTGTGTTTTAAACTGTCAAGGGCTTCCGAAACCATCTATTCCAGCATCCTCACTTTAAAGATGTGGAAACTGTCTGGAATGGAGAAGAGGCTTCCTTAGCTCAAACAGTAGAAAAAAGAGGAAAAAGGCCAATATTTTATTCTTTTCTTCTATTCAGTGTTATGCTATACAAATTTATTTCACTGGAAAATGTTCTTTGCTACTGTGAGGATATATTATCTCTACTTTGAGATACTTCCATTCATTAGGGATGTTCTTTGCGTCTTCTGGTTAGGATTTATGCTGGGACCCTTCATTACCCTCATTGCGACTGGATTCATCTGTAAATCCCTGGGCTGGCCCATGGTCTTCTATATTATGGGTGAGTATCTTTCTATAAAATCCCAGTCATTACTCAGAACCTAAGACAAAATTAAAAATAGAAGTTGAATATAATGTAATACTTTATATAAAGTTAATGAAATTAAACATCATGAATCCCATTGAAGGAAAGATACGTCAAGATTCATTAATTTCTTATTACAAGTAAGGAATCATGCGCATAACTGTACATGCATTATTGTACATAACTTTCGCAGTTCTATAATGTAGGTGCTACTGATCCATACCTCTTATGTGAAACTCTTGGGCAAAGGGATGATCAAAATAGATCACTTTTCAGAAAGATAATATGATCAGTATACTGTTTATACTTAACACCCCAAGCATGATCTGAAACACTGTCTCATAATCAAACACACTGATCTCTGAAGTAAAATGTGAAATTCTCACAAATTTGAATAAATAAAAGCTACAAAGGATTGGAGTTTCCAAATAAGTTAGAAAATCACTTTTGGCGTTCAGATCTTGGTTTCAGACTTATGGATAAGGGACTGTGGATAGTTGTTATAATGCCCATTCGATAGGTAAGGAAACTTATAGAGGCTTAATCAGAAGGATTTATTTACAAAGTGATTAAAAAGAAGGTAAGAGATGTGGCAGAATCACAGGGATAGTACAGTAATCTGGTGCTAGCAATATAGAAGTTGTTAGCATCCCCAGGTCCAAAGGGGAAAGCAAGGGAGTAGTGGATGGGAATCCATTAGGAGAGAGTCCTGTAGAGACAGCTGCCTTCAGAAGACTCATGATTTTTCATAAAAGGGCATATAGATTGAGATAACGCTAGGAAGGTGATAACTAAGGGAAGAGACACCCTAACCTCATTCAACTCTCTCTCCCTCATCTTCTACTTGGGCTTTCTGTTGGCCAAATCCATCTGGAAAGTAGAGCACTTGGAGGCCTGCGGATATTCATTCAAGTCAGCCATCTGTGGTCAAAGCAGGGTAAAGAAGGCTGAGAGTGGATCCAGGGGGACAAATAGAAGACATTCAACACACACAGTGAGCAAACCGCAGATCCATAATATGAAAACATGTCTTCCATCCTCGAAATTTCTTTGCTCTTCATCACTATATTAGTCATCACTAGTAAGTAATGGTCAGTATAGTGATCGTACACAAACCTTGTATCAGGAAAGGGACTGGAAAGCCTAGAACTGTCTAGCTTGGTGAAAGGAAAATTTGAGAGAGTATGCATTGTCATTTACTGTCATTTAAGAGAAATGCATACCTGCTCTGCACTGCAAAACTAAAATGAATATGCAGAAATTATAGGGAGGTAAAGTTTCAGCCCCATGTAAGAAAAACTTTTTAATGCTGCCCAGTATTGCTGATCAAAGTTTGGATGAGCTCCAACATTCATGTTGTATTCCTATTTCAACATCATACATATGTATAGAACAACATATGTCACTTGTGGTTATCATGAGTGACTCCATGAACCCGGAAGAAGGGACTACACATTATATCATGATAACAGCTTTACTGTGAATTGATTCATATGCCTTTTAGAATAGAGGAAAAGTGCCATTACCTGGATGGCAGCGGTTTAGAGAATTAAGTATCTGCCTGCATAACTCTTTTACAATGAGTCATACAATGCCCATAGATGTGAAATGACCTGCCCACATTAGGGGCAGAGGCAAGACTAAAACCAAGAATTTTTTTTGCTCCATTTAATGTTATTCTTAATAAAGTTAAATAAATCTAAATTGATACTGTTTTAAGGAACAAAATAGTATCTGCCTTTAAGCAACTGATAATTGTTGAAGAAAATTACCAAACAGAGCAAATTGGATCACACACTCACGTTTGCACTTAAAATTGCCTGGCTGTCCTGCCACGTTTCTCTCCACAAAGACTATTTCAAGCTTCTCAAAACTTCTCTCCTCTACTCAAATCTCTAAAGTGGCTCCCTTTTGCCTGCCTGCTCTTTTGTCACCTCCCTTTTAACAGTCAAAATTATTGTACAACCTGTCTGTACCCACTGCCCCCATTTCCTAGCCTCCCACTCTCTCCTTGACTCACATCTAACTAATGTCTGACTCATTCTCCATCAAGATAGCTTTTGCCAGGATCACTTATGGCTTCCATCAGAGCTTCTCTGAGCCCCATGTTCTCCCTCTAGTCACACTGGCCTCATAACTCAGGGCCTTGGCACTTACTGCTTCCTCTGCCTGGAGTGTCCTTGCCCCACATCCATGTCACAGCCTTCCCTGAGGATGGCACTCCTCACCTCATCCCCCCATAACTTCTCTCCATAGCTCTTATTTCTGCCATTTAATATCTTTTACTCATTTACTTTTTATTATCTTTCTTGCTCAAACACTAGAAAGTAAGATCTATGAAGGCAGAGGTTTTTGCCTCTTTTATTCACTGATGTATCTCCAGTACCTAGAATAGTGCATGATACATAATAGGCATTGAATCAATATTCGTCAAATGAATGAATGCATTCCCGGAAGACTGACTAATGAGCACTACATACTTCTTGTCCTAACAGAGGATTCCCTATGATTAGTCATTAGCATATAAAACTCGAAAACAACAATTAATTTGGCAAACTTTTATAGGAGTTGAACAATCCCTGAGGCCTGGGCTGTGTCTTAAGAGTATGGCTAAAGCCTAGCTCTCAAACTGAAGGATTATCAAATACTATGTGGGCTCAGCAGTACCATAATTTCATGGTGGAATATGTTATAAATCTCTAGAGATGAAGGCCTCGAGCAGGGAGGCCAAGTTGTCGTGAGTGGAGGGAGACAGAGGCTAGGAGATTGGGAGAGGCCAGAGGGCTTACCAACAGTTCCGTAAAATTCATTCTGTAGGGAGAGGCAGCTGTAGATACAGAGAGGCCTGTCAAAAATGTGAGCCTTGGTGCAGAATTTCAAAAAAGAAAAAGAAGGTCCAGGTTCTCAGACTGATAATAAAAAATGCCAGTTTGGGAAAGAGACCCACTACAGACAGAAGCAATTCCAATTCTAACTTGTCCTACTTTGATAGGTGCTTGTGGCTGTACCCTAAGTCTTCTCTGGTTTGTTCTGTTTTATGATGAGCCAAAGGACCACCCATGTATGAGCATCAGTGAGAAGGAATACATCACATCCTTCCACGTCCAACAGGTAGAACACAGACGCTCCACTTTGGTATCTCCCAGATTCTGCACCAAATGAAATGTGTTCCAGCTTGTCCTAATGTGCTGAGTATTAATGGGTTCCTCTCTAGGTCAGCTCAAGTGAATACTCTCTGCCCATCAAGGATATGCTTAAGTCTCTTCCACTCTGGGCCATTTGCATGTGTATTTTTGCTTTATTCTGGTCAAGTACCATCATACTTTTCTATACACCAACATTTATCAACTCCAAGCTTCATGTTAATATAAACGAGGTAAGTATAAATTCTGTTTTCATTTTAACTTTATGAAGGACTCTGTGCTCATTCCTCTATCTCTCATGACTCTAGTCTTAGCTCTTGCCCACCCCTAGGCTGTTTAGTTGATGTTCTTTCCCTAGAGACTCACTGTTTCCAATTTTTATGTCAACATTGCCCAGAACAAAAAGCGTAGACACAGTATCTTGTACTCCCACAATAATACACACTTACCCATGTTCCCACAGATTCCCTACCTCCCATTCACTGTATGATTGCCCTTTTGTTTTAAGGCTCAATGCCATCATTCCCTACAGGAACTTGGATCCTTCCCTGAAAGTCATTTGGCCTGGCCCTGCCAGCCTGCCCAGCTCATACCAATCCTCTCCCCTGGGGTAGGGCAATGAGTCCTAGGTTGTGAACCCATGACTCAGGTCTTACTCTGAAAGGACTGGCACTCTCATTGCTTCTCTGACTTGGAGAATCATTGATGCCTGGACCCTTCTGCTGCTTGATGCCACAATAACCAGAAAAGACTCCTTTAGATATGGAGTCTGGGCTTGCCACCTTAAGGCATTCTGTAATAATGCCTCCAGTAACCCAGCCTAGGGGCTAGTATAACAGTGAGATCTTTTTTTTTTTTTTTTGAGGAAGATTAGCCCTGAGCTAACTACTGCCAGTCCTCATCTTTTTGCTGAGGAAGCCTGGCCCTGAGCTAACATCTGTGCCCATCTTCCTCTACTTTATATGTGGGATGCCTACCACAGCATGGCATGCCAAGCGGTGCCATGTCCACACCCGGGATCTGAACCAGCAAACCCCGGGCTGCTGAGAAGCGGAATGTGCGAACTTAACTGCTGCGCCACCGGGCCGGCCCCAACAGTGAGATCATTTAAGCTCTCTCTGACTCAATTTTATCTTCCATGAGACCACAGAGCTGTTGCAAGGATTAACAGCTGCTGGTCCAGAATAAGCACCATATGACTGTCTGCAATCGCTATCATTATTATCTCTATCATTTTCTCCAGGGCCAGCATTTCCCATTCCCAACATAGTCTTCCTCTCTACTATCCAGTTCTTTCACGTCCCATAATACTAAAAGTAGAGAACTAGACAGATTGTGACAACTGTTTCTGACCTCGAAACTATTTTCCTCTTTCCTTCGGGTAGCGTGGCCCCAGCGGCAATTCTGGGGATGTATGCTGATGTTTTCCTGCATGACAGCACAAATTTTAGATACTGAATTTCAATGTAGGGATTACTGTACATCGTGAGTACAGTTACTCACTCTCAAATAACATTTCCTCCTTAGAATGGGCTGCTTTCTGCCCTCCCGCATTTGTTTTCCTGGATCTTTGGTCTCCTAGCAGGTCAGATGTCAGACTTCCTCCTATCCAGGAATATTTTCAGCATACTTAACATCCGGAAACTCTTCATCATGCTAGGTAAGCAACAGACAGAACATTCAAGCACTTTGGTGTACCTCACTGCCATATTCAGGATGCACCTGACTGTGTCATCTGAATCACTTCCCCAGGACTTCTCCTGCCTGCCCTCTTCTGTGTATGCCTACTCTACCTGAGTTCCAGCTTCTATGGCACTATTATTTTCCTGATACTTGCTTGTGCAACAGGAAGCTTTACTATGGTTGCAGTGATTGTAAATACCTTGGAGATCGCTCCCAGGTAGGGTTTTAAAAATCTCTTTCATTTTTGTATCCAAGCTCTCCACGGTGTTTTAAAATTTCAGCTATTTTGGAGTTCATGGCCAGCAGGCCAAAAGTTCTGAAGAAGCATCAATATAGGTCAGACATATAGCTTAAGTAATAATTATGTACCTAATGATATATGTAAATGTAAGCAACTCTCATGTATATATATGGGGAAGTATAACCCAATGATTAAAAGCACAGATTCTAGAGTCAGACTGTTGGGTTTCAATAGCATCATGACTATTTTCCTCAAGCAAATTACCTACCTTCTCTGTGCCTGTTTCTCACCTACAAAACAGGAGTAAGAAGAGAATGCTTACCTCTTGGGGGGTTATTAAAAGGATTAAATAAGTTAATATAGGTCAAGTACATAGCATAGTGCCTGGCACATAGCAAATGCTGCACAAAGGGCTAGCTACTCCATTGATATTGTTGTATGCATGTTTATATATTATTAACCCTCATGACAACCTATCAATTAGCACTATTCACTTTATAACTAAAGAAACTGAGGTTCAGATACTTAATCGTTACCCTAAGATCTCACCACTGGTTTGGGATCTTACCTAGGATATCAATCCAGATCTGTTTGGCAAAAACCTTTTGCTCTTTTTACTATGTTATGCCTTTTTTGGGGGGGAGATATAATAAGTACGACTAATGTAAGCAGCTCTGTCATTTGCACAACTCCAGGGGATGCTGTTCACATTGTACTTTATGGGGCTAGCACTCCCTGGAGAACACAGACCCAATATGAACAGAATTCTCTGAAGTTTTGTAAAGCAGTGGTCCTGAAGTAGAGAGGCAAAATCAATCAAGAATAATCCACTGTCACAATTCTTTAAAGAATCTTGCCCATCAGATCTACACAATGAAGACATGTATCCATTTGATTTATTCAGTTCCGAGACGCTCCTTAAAAATGCCTGCAGGTGTTCTGATTAATACTTGGAATTGTATAAAGACATAAAAGAATTGTTTGATATACAATGCACAATACCAACTGAGCCATATGCACTTTGAAAAACAGGTAAATTAAGAACATATATACAAATGGATAAAGGAAATTATAAATATGCATTAAGAAGTATTGAGTATTTTTTGTGTGCCTGTCATGCCCCAGTGTGAGTGATATAACACTATCCACATAGTGTGGGTGAGGAGACAGAAGACCAGGGAAATGAATTTATATGAAGTCACATGATTAGTAATAAGTAGAGTGAGGGTTCATACCTAGATTTATCTGCCTCCAAAGCTGACTAGCTGTAATCATTCCCTCACTAGTGTTATTTGCCAGCACCTGGTCAATAGGATGAAATATCTCAGCCAGCGACGGTTTGGGGAACACAGGACTTGGCCTGAATTGCATCATTCCAATGGGCCCAAATTTCATGTTAGCCAGGTAATTTTGTAGAGTCAGAGAGAATAAATAAATACAATTTGGGAAAATTCTTAGTCTCTTAAACTAGTTCATCCTCAATCTTTAGGGCATATGTGTGTTATATCTCAACCATATCAATTTGTATTGCTTAGACTATTTTTTATTAATAGGATGGAGACAAAATTTATTTAAGCAAGAATGTTCCTAATCATATGCTGCCCTTGCCTATTAAAGAGAGTTCCCTTAGAGGATAAATTTCTAAATTGTCCTCTTAGGGTAATTTGGTCTTTGTTAGAACTGAAGAGTAGGACAAGGGATTACATTTGTTTAAGCAGAACAGAGGCGGCAAGAAAGAAAGTATGGCAGGAAGAAGAAGAGATACACAGATGTGGTTATATGCGAATACTGTTTGGGAATTGAGAGTGAGTGAGACAGAGGAGACCTGGGAATGTTAATGGCTGCCATCTCTTTGTGGGGTAGCAAGAGTAGAAAAGCACAGAGGATTCTAAAGATGCTTTGTGATGCATTAAGAAGACACTGCCATCCCCTTGACATTCTTAAAGGGAGGCTCCAAAAATAATTTTAATTGCTTGTAATTATTTTTGAATGATGAATGGATCATGAACCCTTGAATTTCCCTCCATGTAGGACTAAATTATAGTTCACACGTTTGAATCTTATTTGGGTTCTACTAAATCATGTTCTGCCAAAATATAAAATCAATAAATTTGAAAGTGTGCTTCAGTGGCTATTTACACTTCCAAAATGCTTTCTACCATGAGCTGTGGCAGCTAAAGAGTAAGCAATTCTAGAGCTGATTGGTGTCCAGAAGATTGTCCTGCATTAAAACAACCTCAATGTTTTCATTCCCAACATAAAATACTTACTTTTTGGGGACTGGGTGGCATGAGGGATGGAGCCTTGCTACTCACAGGTCAGTGAACCTCTCTGTCCTGTGGGTGTGTGATGGTTTTCAGAAGAATTCTCATGGCACTCAGTACTCTTGACGCTGGGAATTCTGTTTATATCTCTGACTGGGGAATAAAAGCACCTCTTTCCACAGCCACAGCCACAGTGCGCTAAAGACTTCTGAATCTGGGAAGAGAATATAGTAATTAAAGATGTCACGGTACAGAATATATAGTAGGATAAATAGAAAGAAAACCATACCTAGATTTGTCATAGTAAAACTGCCAAAAATGGGGGGGAGGGGGACAGGAGAGAGAGAAAGAGAGAGACCTCTTAAAAACAGCCGTATACAAAAGGCACATTATTTTCAAAGGAGCAATAATGACTGACAGCTGCCTTCTCAACAGACACAATGAAAGCTGGAAACCAATGTGTAACGTGCAAAAAACTACTGTTATCCTAGACGTCTATATCTGGCAAAAAAAGTCCTTAAAGAATTAAGGTATATAAATACATTTTCAGGTAAATGGTGAGAATTCATCAGTAACAGACCTCTAATGAAAGAATTATTAAATAAGAATGCTTTGGGCAGAAGTAAAATAATCACAGAAAAAGCATAGAAGTACAGGGACAAATGAAGAGAGAGGAAGAGGGAAAATATTGGAGTAAATCTAATAATCACAGAATTCACAAAACAAAAACGATAATACCTTATAGGGTATAAAATATGTGTACACTAAAAGGCACAACAATAAATAGCACAAAAGATGAGAGGATATAAATGAACTTACGTGTTCTAAGGTGATTTCATTAATAAAAATTGGTAAAAATTATTAACTTATATTAGACTAAAATAAGTCAAGGGTACATGTTTTGATTTCTAGGGTAACTACTGAGGGATAGTAAAAATGTAAGGGAGATGATATTTTAAAGAAGCAATTAATGAAAAAGAAATCAATAATGAAGTTAAGAAGGAACATAGAATAGATGGGAAAAATTAGGATGATCATTTTAAGTCAAATGTATCAGAAAGACATGAAATATAAAAGGACTAAATCTTCCAAATTTTACATTAATCTGGATAGCAAAACCAAAATGTAATAGATTAAAAGGAAAATAGATCAGACAACGTAGACTTTAAGGCAAGATACATTACTAAAGAAAAGGAGGATATTTTATAATTATTTTGATCTACTGGAAGATATAATATTCTAAATTTCTAAGCATCTAACATTTTACAACCATAAAGCAAAATTTGAGGAAATTGTTCAACTTCCACATGGGATTGAGCAGATTGTAGATGATTGACCTTCCAGCTGGCAAAAACTTGAAAAGTCCAGATAAAATACAAAAGTATTCACTAAAAGGCATCAGACAGTAGCAATAAGACCATAGACACCAGGGAATAGCACCTCCGAGATGTGAACTGAAAGTGCCCACCAATTTCTCCTTGGTGTCATTTGCTAATTCTGGGAATTAGCAAAAGACTGGCAATCCAGGTTTGGCCCTAGTAGAAGGCTGCTGCTCTGGATAGAGAAATTAACCAAGCATTTGATAGTTGCACAGTGCTGGAGTGACAAAATTGAAAATTAAGGGAACTCAAACACGAAGTCAGTTTCTCTCCTTGAGATATTTGTTGAATTCTGAAGTTCATTGGGGCAAAGGGCAAAAATTCTAAGCTAAAAACCTATGAGGAGCATGGGAGAATTTCTCATACTGACCATGCTAAGGAGCTAAGATCTACCAGGGCCTGGAGGGCTCCAGCTGAATATACTGAGCTCTCCATTTAACACCTCTGAGGGCTATACCCAAGGAACAGGGTGGTACCAGAGGTGAACTGAGTCTTATCAAAATTGAAACTTAGCGTCATCTCAGCTCATTCCCTAATTAGATTAAAATGATCAGTTCCCTCCCTCCTCATCCAAATAACTGTTAGAGAAAAAGGGTGAATCTTTTCTGGCAAAGTATAATATATTCTGGAGTCCGAATAGCTTCTTATTCACAATGTCCAGCATTTAATAAAAATTACTGGGCATGCCAAGGGATAGGACCATGTGATCAAGAACCATAAAATGCCATTAAAAATAGTCCTACAACTGACACAGACATTAAAGTTACCAGGCAAGATGAACTCCAAAATATCTATGATTAATAATATACCAAATAAAACAAAGGAAAAGCTGAAGAAAATAGATGAAAAGGTAAAGAATTTGACCAGATTGAAGTATATAGAGAAAAAAAGAATAGAAAATAAAGAAAAGAGAGTAACAGAAATGTGGAATGAAATTAAAAGGCTAACAAATCTTACTTGAGTCTCAGAAAGAAAGGAGAGACAAAATGTGACTTAAGCAATATTTTAAGAGAAAACAGCCCCAAATAATCCAAACATAAAGAAAATAAACCACATGCACAAATCTCTGTGAATTTCAACCATGATAAAACGTTGAATATATGTCTATATGTATATTAAGCAAGTCCAAAGGCAAAGAGAAAGATCTTACCAGGAACTAGAGAGAAAAGGCACATTACTTTCAAGTAGCAATAGTAAGCCTAACATCTGACTTTTCAACAGAAATCATGAAAACCAGAAGATAATGAAATGAGCTCTATAAAGTACTGAAAAACAAGTCAATCCCAACCTAAAATTTTATGCCTAGTGAAAATATTTGTCAAAAGTCAGAGCAAAATTAAGAGGTTATCAGACAAACAGAGAAATTGTCACCAGCGGATCTTCACTAAAAGAAATACTAAAAGGAATTTTTCAGGCAAAAAGAAATCATCCCTGATAAATCCTGAAAATGCAAGGAGGATGGAGGAGCAATAGGAGAGTAAATATGGCTGCAATTACAGAGGCTATTGATCTTTAAAAGCAGCAGAGAGTACCTTGTGAGTTGAAATGTATACAGAAATAACATGCATCAGGGAATTAAAATACAGGATGAAATAATGCAAAGAGCAGGAGGAAGATACATACAGTTAAAAACGTTTTAAGATTCTGGCGTTATAGAGAAAATAGTAAAAGTATAATTTATAATATACTTAAGTAAAGAATGCATGTTTTAACGTCTTCGGTGCTTGAAAGAAACAATAAGTAATGTTATAGAAGGAAAATAAAATTAAAATGGATTAATCTAGAAGAAAGAAAAAGTGGAATGTAAAAGAGGAGGTCAAATAAAAAGTAAGTAGCGAACAGACAAAGAGAATCACAAGTATATCAGTAACTATACTAAATTAATGTGTACAAAATACTCCAATTAAGTATCAAGATTGTCAAACTCAATAAAAAAGGAATTGCAGCTCTATGCTGCAAATAAAAGACACATATTAAACATGAGGATACAGAAAGGATGAAATAAAAGGACAGAAAAGATATGCCAAGCAAGTATTAACCAAAAGAAATCTAGAATAACTATGTCAATATCAGATAAAATAGACTTTAATGGAGGAAGCATTACTAGAAACAAAGTGTGATATTTCATAATGGTAAAGAGAAAAATATCAGAATTCTACTTATGTTTGAACCTGATAATATACCTTTAGTTTATATTCATCATGAATTGAGAGAACTCCAAGAACTAGACAAATTTGCAATGAAGGAAGGGACTTTCACACACTTCTTTCAATAGCTGGTACAAAAAAAAGAGGCAGACAGAAAGTTGGGATATAGATGATTAGAACAAGAAAATGAACAGAGTGGACCTAATTGACATGTGAACACTGCACTCAACAAGGAGAGAACTCACATACTTTTCAATTGCCTGTGGGACATTTCCTGAAACTGGCAAGATGCTGGGTCATAAAGCAACCTGCAATTAATTTACTATGACTGAAACAATTCAGAATATTTTCTTTGATCACAGTGAAATTAAGGTTGCCATCAAAAGCAAGAGATAGATAACCCCTGTTACTTTGAAAGTGTTGTTTAGGTCGAAGAAGAAATCACAATTGAAATTAGAAAATACTTTTGCTAAATTATAATGAATATAACGTCAAAGCATGTGGGAAGCTTTTAAAATAATGCCCAGAAACAAATAGATAGCTTTAAACATATATATTGAAAGACAATTAAGTCTTAAAATCAATAATCATGTATCAAGTAGGTAGGAAAATAGGAGCAAATTAAACTCAAAGAAAGCAGAAGGAAAGAAATTACAAAGACTAGGACCAAAAATAATATGTAAAACCAACAAGGTCAAAAGTTGGTTCTTTGAAAATTAATAAAATTAATTAGTCAAGAAAAATAAAGAGGAAAATTATCAACATCACTAATGAAAAAGCGTGCATTATAATAGTAAGTCTTAGTACATAATGAAGAAAACAGCATTTTATGAAAAACTTCATGACAATGAAGCTGACAATTTAAATGAAATTGAAAAGTCCCTCCACACACACACAGAGTCATAAGATATAACTTTTAATATTTTTGAATAGGGCCTCATGAAGGCAAAAGTGACAAGGGTTCACAAAAGGCATCAGTGGCCCTATTCCCACTGAAACCCCAGGTTTCTATTGCTAAAATGAAAAAGGGAACAACAAATACTGGGGACAATTGACAGTTTCTGCCCCAATCTGTGCCCGTGGCTGTTCAGCACCATAAATGTTCTTCTTCACACATTAGAACACACTCTCAGCTCCCTAAAAACAGACTCAAGTGTCCACCCAGTGACTGCACACAGTTCAACACTGAGAGACTCCAGGTCCACAGGTGATGCCTCTCTGACTAGGGACCCGTAAACTACTAAATGAACTGTACACTCCCCACCCCCCGCCCCATATCCAACATGTAAAGGCAGAGTAGGAATAAAATATAACCGGGGAAATAAAAGGAGTAGAACAAAACGAACAGAAAGCCCGCCTTCTCCTAAAAGGGAAGAACTGAAAGCACAGAACCTTTAATGGTACAGTCTGTTGGGCAGAAAAGGCAAAGACTGTTGTCCTGGAGTGAACTAATTTCTTGGTTAGACTCGATTCTGCTCTCCAAAAGGCACTTCCTTGTTCTTTATGGCTGATGGATTTGACCCCTCCTTTATCTATTATTCTCTGTGGCTTCCCTCCTTTTGTAGCTCAGTTTCTGCTGAGGTTAATTTGGACATCCAGGGTAGGCCAATTACAGCTGCCTGTAAACTAGGCTTCTGGTTTCGTTGCCTGAGTACTGGGAGCAATCATTGGAGGCAGCAGCTCTAGGACTGTGGGAATAGACCAGGTGAACAGAGACTTTCAGTTTTGTATTAACCCTAAACTAGTTCCCACTACCAACACATACCACCTTCAGAATTTCTCAGCTGTATTTATAGATTTCCTAACTCTGCTGGCTTTCACTCTAATATGGTCTCATTTTCTCAATATTTTAATATTCTTTACTGCTAAAGCCAAGCTTTCTGACTCTGTAGTGCAACCAGAAAGTTACTTATATCCACATACTTTTTCTGACATTTTAATGGAATTTGGGTAGTAGGAATGGGCAATTCAGGAAATCAACAGTTATCTCTCTTAAACCTCAAATGATTAGGTTGGCTGTTCCTGTAGCATCTGTGTTACTTTACGTCAGTTTATTCTCACTCTTTTTTTGCATAGATATTGTGGATTTCTTAATGGATTTATACTGGTAATTGGAACGATAGCAGGAATAATTTCTTCCACTCTGACTGGAATAATTCTTAATCAGGTAAGGAACTTCCAGACATGGGTGGTTATTTTTCTGACAGCAATTGTACAGAAAAAGAAAGTAATACATATACAAAAAATTGCAGAGGAGACATCAGCAGAAGGTGAGTTATGAGTTTTTGTATCATATTAAACTTGGTCCAATCAGGCACCCCTCAAACCTACAGATATATAATCTTTCTGGTTATATGTCAATTAGTTGTGCCAAGAACTCTTTAGTCATTCATCATTGGAATGGAAGTAGATCTCTGTGATTTTTAATAATGAATGTGTGTCTTGATCAAAACAGGTATTTAACTGGGTGAATGACAATATAAGTAACAAGATACAGTTTTGTCAGAAAAGGAATGAAAAATCAGGAACAAATAGAATTAAAGAATGACCAAAAGAAACACTTCTATGAAGGTTGACTTCTGTTTCTACAAGTGTTGTGGATAAGATTACCTGAAATTCTCCTCTTAAAACACTTAAAATGCCCTAGAAAGTTGTAACAATCATTTTAAATCCATGCCTGATCTTGAAAAAAAATGTAAGAGAAAATTTCAGAGATTAAAAATGAAGGAAGAGCTTGGGGCCAGCCTGGTGGCATAATGGTTGGGTTTGCACACTCTGTTTCGGTGGCCTGTGGTTTGCAGGTTCAGATCCTGGGCACAGACCTATGCACTGCTAGTCAAGCCATGCTGTGGTAGCATCCCACATGCAAAAAAATAGAAGATGATTGGCAAGAATGTTAGCTTAGGGACAATCTTCCTCAAGCAAAAAGCAAAAAGAGGAAGATTGGCAACAGATGTTAGCTCAGGGCCAATCTTCCTCACCAAAAAAGAAGAAGGAGAAGGAGAAGAAGAAGAAGGAAGAGCTTGATTCCAGAGAGGCAAATCATCATCAAAGCCACTGGCTACCTTGGGCAACTACCCATCCTCGGTGGTCTATACCTTCAGTTGTAATGGACAGAAAATAAGAGATAATATCCCAAAACTACTCATAAAAGAAGAGTCAGAATGGAAATGCTGGCATAAATCTGTGATCACTAAGGACTACATCCTCACACCACGAGCACCATGTAGCTCATATACAAACTTGGTTTATTTGGAGGAAAACTTACAAGCTGAGAAGTAGTAGGGTGCATGCGATTCCTCCAAATGCTCCTTATCCCATGTCTTGGACCAAGGAGAGAGAGTTTGCATTCACCACGGCCAAATTTCTCATAGAGAGGAACCTTCCACCATCATGCTCCATGACTTAGGATATCAGATAGGCATTGGCAGGAAACATCTTGATAGCCATGGAAGCTCCCTGGTGAGAGAAGTGGCCTCACTAGAAAAGAACTCCAGGAGACCAGGGTGCATCTTCCCCCCGGGGCATAGAACCCACTCAGCTTGTTCTTCGATTGGACTCACTCAGATCTGCTGAGCTGCCTTCCAAAAGTTCTCAGGTGAGCTAACTTCCCTACTAACTTCCAAAACAGGGGAGGAAATGTAGCTCCAGAACTCTCCAAAGTGTCTCTGCCCAGTAAGAAAACCTGTCTGTCTCAGCCTCAGCTTCCAAGGGAGAGGAAAACTTGAATAAAGATTCTTCTGAATATTTGAAACAATAAACCATTGTTCACAAGGGTGAGGCGCAAATTCAAACTCTATTTGTTCCAAATGCCATAAGCCAAGTATTGAATTTCAAGTGGTCCACAGATGCCTAGTGGAAGTAAGTAAAATTTTTCTGGAGAAACTTACCCTAAATTCATACTCCAGAATTTCCTCCTGCATAACATTTCAGTGAATATGACTTCACAGTCAATCAATCAAAAATCACAAAACACTTGATGAAAAAGGTGACATGTGAGAGAAGAATTAAAAACCACAGAATCAGATCTTCAGAGATATTGGAAATCTATGCATATGTTTAAAAAAGTAAAAGACCATTGAAAATATAAATAAGAAACATAAAATTTGACCAGGAACCAAATCTAACCTCTAGCGATTAAAAATACAGAAATTGTGGAGCTGGCCTGGTGTTATAGTGATTAAGTTCACCCATATCACTTCTGCAGCCTGGAGTTCATGGGTTCAGATCCCGGGTGCGGATCTATGCACTGCTCGTCAAGCTATGCTGTGGTGGCATCCCACATACAAAATAGAGGAAGAGTGGCACTGAGGTTAGCTCGGGAACAATCTTCCTCAAGGAAAAAGAGGAAGATTGGCAATGGATGTTAGCTCAGGGCCAATCTTCCTTACCAAAGGGAAAAAAATATATATATATATAAATTGAAACAAAAAATTGCAAGTTAAATACAACTAAAAAGAGAATTAGTGAGGCTTCTACTTCCATTAACGGGAGAGTAATTGATTTGGGCCAACCCTCTTAATAAAGACAATGAAATAGGCTAGAAAAATATAAAAAGAGTCTTCTGTGAAGCTTCAGAGAACTAAAGAGGTAAAAAACTTTAACAGGTAGGATCTGGGAGAAGCCAGGAACTGAAAGAGTTGAGCAAAGGACCAAGGGTTATTTTCCTCCTGGGGTGAGGAAAGCTGATTTTTTGGCTGCTCTCCAGCACCTGCTGAGGATGAGCAACCTGATAAATTAACTTGTTTTAGTCTGAGACCTTCCAATGGCTGCACTGATGGAGTAAGGTGAACAGAAATAAACCAGTCCTCACGTGGCCTGCTTTGGTCATCTGGATAGACCAGAAAATATCAAACCTTAATTGAAAAGGATTCAGGAGGGCCAGTGCCCCAAATCAGCCTGGAAGAAGCAAACAAAAACTCTGCTTGGAGGCAAATGGCATCACCCATCAAATTGTCGGTAGAAATAGTTTTTAAGTACAATCTTCTGCACACAACAAAAGATCACCGGGCACATTGAGGAGGCATGACAAAATGGGGGAAAACCAGCAGAGCCACAAATAAGAGCAAACAACAGTAGCAACAGAAGTAGACCCCAAGGACAACAGATAATGGAATTATCAAATTAGCAGTAACACCAGTACGCTACGCTTACTCTGTTCAAAAAAGTAGAAGCGAAGCTTGAAAGTTTCTGTAGAAGGCTTAAAACTGTATGAGTAACAGAATATTTGAAAAAGTACTACTAAAAATAAATTTTAGAAATGGAAAATTTAAAAAACAAAATTAGGAACTCACTGAGTGAATTCGACAGACACAGCAGTGGGGCCAACAACCCCAAAGCCCAGTAGCAAAAATTTATAAGGGTTTTTTTTTCTCCATTGATAGATTTATCACAAGTCAGCTAACGGGGTTAACTGGGAAGAGCCCCTTCTCCAAGCATCCCCAATGGCCAAAGCAGAGAAAAGAGATGCAGTGAATTGTGCAATGGCTCTTCTGTTCCATTGCATGGTCCAAAGCAAGTTTCATGGCTAAACCTGACTTTATGGGAGCTGTGGAGTGCAACCTTGCCATGTGCCTGGAAAGAGGACCAAAAATGTTTGGTGAACAACTTGTTGATTACCTCAGTTCACTCTTCTAGCCACCAAAAATTCAGTTTACACTCCTTCCTGCATGTGGAACAATTTTACTCCTCTATAAGGGAGGCGACACAACCCTAAAGTCCCTCCTAGTTATGGCGTCAAGTTCAAAGTGCAAAATATGTCGTCCTTTCATTGAGACATAATGCATAACTGTCCTCTGCAGCAGGGGTTACATGCTCCGTCATGCTGTACACTATTGCAGCACAGCAATCCAACAGCCACAATAAATACTTCCCTTCAGAAAAGGAAGATTGGGAGACAAACAGCAACCATTGGTCCAGAGGAATGCTGACCCTGAGGGCAAACATTTTGAGAGCTACCTATTGGTGAATATTTGAATGTTTTTGATTAGGCCCAGAAGTGGCTGAATGTAGGGACTGGAGGATTAAATTTGAAAGCTTCAATTTTTCAATGATTCTATAAACCAACAAGATCAATAAAACTGAAAATAGAAAAAGTAAAGAAGAACACGGTTTAGTAAGTCTGCTCGGAACAAGCTCAACATACTTAACAGCATTTATAAATACCAGAAATACCATGTAGGAAAAAAATAAATCTAAATAAGATGCCATTCACACTGGTAACAAAAGTTATAAATATCTTGGAATTAATGCAACCAAAAATATGTAAGACCATAATGGAGAAATTTTTTAAACTACTGACTTTATAAAATACTATTAATAATGCAATGTGTAGAGTTATAAGTAAAAACTAGATAGGCTAATGTATAAGAAAAAATAGTGTATGTTATCTGAGAGAGTGATGGGAAATGAAAACGTTCAATTTTTTTTAATGAATCAGTTTTTATTCAGAGACTATAGAGTTCTTCTCCAACTTTCTTTTGTTAATTTTTTATTGTGTAAAAAACGCATAGTATAAATTTACCCTTTTAACAATTTTTAAGTGTATGTTACAGCATTGAATAGTTAACTGCATTGTTAACTATATGCACATTGTTACACAACAGACATTTAGAACTTTGTCATCTTGCATAACTGAAACTCTATACTCAATGAACAACAAATCCCCATTTCTCCCTCCTCCCAGCCTAATTTTTTTAAAATATAAGGATTGATAGTAATTTTTTTAATATATGTGTTAAAGTTTTAAGGGCAACCATTAAAATAGACACAGAGTGTAGAATTTTCAAACTAGAAGAGGGGGGAGAAATGGAATGAGAACAAAGAAAGCAAAAGCAAAAACTCCCCAATTTGAAAGAAAGTAAGAAATGGTGTGAGGTGTGGGTAAGAATATAGGTAAAAAATAGGACAAACTGAAAGCACAAAGAGGGATGGTAGAAATAAATCCAAATATACCAGTGATCACAATAAATATAGATGGACTAAACTCTACAGTTAAAAGACAAAGTTTGTAAAACCAGATTAAAAACAAAATCCATTCATATGTCATTTATGTATAAGATACATATCTAAAACAAAGAGAGAGAAACATTGAAAGTTGTAAGGGCAGCATAAAAAAAATGAAGCAAATATTAACCAAAGAAAGATGGTATTATCATATTATCAGGAAAAATGTTTTCTTTAAGCAAAAATACTAGAAACAATGAGAGTCAGCTACTTAGCAGTTTACAGTGCGTATTTCTCTGGTGAAACAATCTTGTTCAAATGTTAACTCAGCTACTTAAAAGCTGTGTAACCTGGAAAGATTTCTTAATCTAAGTCTTAGTGTCTCTAGCTGTAAATGGCCAAGATGACATAGAAACCTCATGAGGGTAAGGTGATTACCAAATCAGATCATGCATGTGAGTGTCAGACGCTTGTGTGCTTGTGTGTTCAACGAATAATAGCAACTAGTATTGTTGTTTCCATATCCTTTTAAATCAGGAAAAATAAAAGTGTGTTTGCATCTATCCTATTGTTTAGCATTCTGAAAATGCTGGCAAACACAATTGGTTAAGAAAACTAAATTACAAGTATATACGGTGTAAATGCAAAGAAAAAATAACATCATGTATAGAGAATATAATTGTCCTCTTGTGGGAAAACATCGAAGTTAGATATCATACTGTGGAAAAATCTAAAGCACAGTAGCAACCAGTGTTGCAAAATACCTGTGGGGAAAAAAACACTGAAAATTGTGCAAAGTCCATATGAAGAAAACTGCACATTTATTGAGCAACATTAGTGAAAATACATGAAAGGAGAGGCATATCAAGCTTTTAGGCTGGACTTCAATTCCAAATCACAATGAATTCTATAGTCTTAACAAAGTTATTGCAAGCTTAATTATTTATCATTAAATTTCTAAGCACCTCTTGGTCCTTTTCTTAACTTTCTGTTTGCCAATGCCTGTCCAGTTTGGCATATTTTAGTTACAGAAATCACTATAATTAAATAGAATTAATGTCTAGTCTAGCAACTAACATTATTATTTTATTTTTTAGATGTCTAACCTTAATTGTATTTTAAATGAAACTAGTGATAATTTTGTCAAATTCTGAAAAAAATACATTCTGAATAACAAAGTTTCATTTCAAACCAGAGGGGATTGATTAATTTTTTTTTAAACATAGTGGCAAGCCCACTTGTAGAAAAATGTAATTATACTCTGTTCTCATATCTTACCCCAAAATTAATTCTAGATGAGTAAAATGTAAATGAAGAAAGGAAACAATAAAGATACAAAAGTAAAATCAGCGTTAATGATTATATAAACTCTGGGCAGGACATCCTTCAAAAGCGTGGCACAAGAGACCAAAACTCAATTACAATGCATTATACATTTAACTACATAAAATTTAACCTCAGCTGATGAAAGAAATAAAGGACAAAGTGGTAAAATCTGAAACATAATTGAAATTTAATGTAATCTTTGAACATAGATGCAAAAATGAAATAAACTACCGCACATAGAATCCACCAGCATATTAAAATACATTTGACACCATGATTAAGTAGGCCATTTTCTATGAAAGTAAAAGTGGCTTGATATTACAAAATCTATTAATGAAGCTGGTCGTATTGAAAGGCTGAAAGAGAAAATGTGTCAGACATTTTCATAGATTAAAAAAAGGTATTTAATAAATTTTATTCAAAAGCATTGATGTGTATGTAATTAACCACCAAGATATTCAAACTTTTAGCAGCAAAAAGTGAAAAACAATTCAAATATAAAGAAATAAGGGATGTGTTTATAAACTTTATGGATCTAAACTCTGGATTACTAATCAGTTAGTAAAGGTTATGGTACAGTTGAATATTTCTTGATATGCAAGCATGTTTATGATATATTTCTAAATGAAAAACCATGTGCATTCTTGGCTTTAGCACTATGTACATCATAATGTCATTTTTCTGCATGAAAAATTATATGTACATTGACAGAGGTGAAAAAGTAGAAAGACAAATAGCGATTATGTTTGTAGAGTGAAACTGTGACTTTTTTAAAGTGTTTTTCCATGTGTGTTAAGTGATCTGTGTTGAGCCTATATTAATTTTAATGTCATATTCTAAATGTTACCAAATATAACAACAAGGTTAATAATTTAAAATTATTTTGCACTTCAATCCCTCAGGATCCAGAATCTTCCTGGTTTAAAATCTTCTTCCTGATAGCAGGCATTAATGTGATAGGCGTAATTTTCTACCTTATATTCGCTAAAGCAGAAATTCAGGACTGGGCTAAAGAAAAACAACACACACGCCTCTGAAGGTAAGAAGGGATAGATTAAGGACAGATTTTGAAACTGGGGATGCAGGACGGAGAGGAGTTGAGGATGGCCCCTGAGCAAACTGTGGTGTTGCTGACTGAGATGGGGAAAAACAAGGGGTGAAGACTTGGGGGAGAAGACGAGACCATGTGAAGTATGAAACTATTTGACATCCTGATGGAGACGGCATGCCACCCAGAAGATGTGCTACTCTGGAATTCTGGGAAGATACTGGGGCTAGAGATAAAAATTTGGGTGCCTGGGCCTCTCTAACATTTAAAGTTGAGGAAGAGAAGGGAAAATTTGCCAGGGAGACCAGGAAGGGCCTTCAATGAAGTAGGAACAGTTGCAGAGAGTGGTATCTCAGAAAAGAAGTGAAAAAGGTGGGTATAATTACCTGTGGCAAATGCTATCAAGCAGCCAAATTGTCTAAGGTCTGAAAACTTACTAATGGGTTTGGCAAGAGGTACGTTAAAGGTGACCCTGGCTAGAATGATTTTCAAGTGAATGATGGAGACAAGAGGCCCATTAAAGTTCGAAAGAGAATCTGATATTGTGCCTTTCTTCTCTAAACTCTGTCAGTGGTAAATAGAAGGAGAAATGTCTTTTCTGCAGAATTATTTCAGCTAATACATAAGCAAGAATTGATGGATATAGAATATCCCCCTTTTGTAAACCCCAGTGAATTAAGGGATCCAAGTATTGTGCGTTAACAGCTGTTAACATCACCAAAAGAGAGACATAGAGACATTGTGTACATCCTGATGAAAGAGCATACCACCACCAAGATCTTGCTAAGAAAATCAAACTGAATATGATCAAGCCTCTGGGAACAGCTAATGTTTTGGAAAAGATACAGAGAACAGAGAATATGTTGAAATAAATCCTAAGGATATCATCAGCAATTCTAAACCATAGGAAGGTTACAGGTCAAAAGACTCAGATTCTTTAACAAATAAATTATAAGGGGAAAAAAAGATGAAGGGGGAATCTCTACATTAAAAGGGACTTAAAAGATATAAATTTTTAAAAGCTGGTGAAACTAAACTCTATAGGGATACATACATAGGTGACAAATCTATAGAGACATACACAGAAGACATTACTCTAAATGTCAGGATAGTCATTACTTCTAAAAGGGAGAGAGAGGTTGTGATTAGGATGGATCACAGAAAACTTCTAGGGTCCTGGTGATATTTCATTTTTCACGTCTAGGGTTGTGATTAAAAGAGTGTTCATTGAGTTACACATTTGTTTTGTGACGTTTTCTGTATCTGTGTTTTATAAGAAATGAAAGAAGGAGGGAGAGAGGGAGGGAGGAAGGGAGGAAGGAAGGAAGGAATGAGAGAAGGTGAGCTGAGGAAATGGAGATAGCCAGAATAGACAGCCCTATAAAGGAGAGCAGAGAAATAGCATGGCAACTGTAGAGGGATGTGGCATTAGGGAGTTTTTGTTTGTTGTTTGTTTTAGAATTAGGTGCAATAATATATAAGCTGACAGTTTAATCCAATAGTGAGTTTTCACAATGTTGGAGAGAAGGTTCACAGGCAGAATTAAAGTCTTGAGTCATCCAGAAGGGATGCTATCCAAGCACAGTGCAGGGGTTGGCCTTGGATATGAACCTAGAGTTGATCCAAAGTAGCGGAGAGAAGGCAGAGTTTATGGGCACATACATGGTGGGTCAGGATGTGGGTTGGCATTTTATCTGTGCAATAAGCAGCAAGGTTTTCACTTAAGAGGGAGAAGTTGAGAGAGAAGGAAATAAAGGAATCCACGTTGGAAAAGGGTAAAATTACCACCATGAGTGGATGATATGATTGTTTACCTAGAAAATCCAAGTAGGTTGACTGGAAAGCTATAGAAACAATAAATGCATGCAATAAGTTTCTGACTAACCCATTAATAGAGAAATAAATTTTTTCACATTAAACAATGATAACCAGTTAGCAAATTTATTGAAAGAAATGATCCAGATGATGATTGGAGGGATATTTGATAGTATCAATCAAAAATTAAATTGACTCGGGGTTGCCAGTACTAAGAACATCCATAATGGTGCACTCACAAAAAACCACCAACATAGATATATACTCAAGATTGCTGCTTAAAAATGGCAAAAATCTGGGTCTGAAATTAAACATGTCCATCAATGCAGTCTTAGTTAATAAATTTTGTGTAAGTGAATGGAAGATAAGCAGTAGTTGGAAAATATGGTAGCTCGAACAAATATTTTAACACAGAAATTTCTGAGGCTGTCCTTATGAATAAGCTCATAACAGCACTAGGAAATACTCCCTAGGCATCAGCAAAGGTTTAGCCTCTATTTCCAAGGTATGGAGTTGGGAACAGTCATGGTTGCAATCATACTACTTTATTCAGATCCTATAAATCTTACTTGTTTCCACATAGTTGTCTATTAAATACTAAAAGTTATACTGATGTTTTCCACTACTATTTCCATTAATTTCTGTTTATGTCCAAGCAGTTGTTATTGAATATTCTGACGTTCTACTACAATTTCAAAAAGATTTTGACAATTATATCTTAATTGGAAATTTAATTTTGATTTTGTAAAATTATCAGCCTTTTCCGTATTATGATTTTTACTCTTAATTGACTTTCTGATATCGATATTGCAACCTCACATTTTCTGCGCATATGCTTGTTTGAGATTCCCTGGAATACTTTTTCGTAGCCTTTAAATTCCACCTTCCCAAGTCATTTCGTTTAGTATTTGTTTCTTACAAACGGTACATTGTTGGGCTTAATTATTTCACCCACTGAGTGCTGTCTGCTTTGTATAGATGAACTTAGTCCAACCGCATTTATTATCATTACAAATGTACTTCATTTTCTGTCATTTTATTTTATATCCCCTTAAAAAATGTCCTCCTTATCTTTGTGGCCTTCCTCTTCCTCCTGCTCCTTTGCCTGCCTCTAGTAATTCGGAAAGTTCATGGAATATTTTCAATTTTGGTTGTGCTTATACTCTTTAAGTTTTCTTTGAAAATGTGTTCATTTTTCATTAGTGTGCTATACTCTTTTTCTGCCTTCTTTTTCCTTCCAAAATATCTAAAATATTTGACTTTTCTAATCACTTTTCTCTGGCTAGGACTGATTCTACCTGAGCTTGTAATTGCCCAAGCACGGTGTGGGTAGAATTTCCTCAATTCTTTTCTGGTGTTTGCCTGGTCGCCATTTTCATCTTGCCATCAGGCTGGAGCTGGAGGCCTGGAGGCTTTAAATCTGCCTTTTAGACTCTAGGCTAGGTGACAGACAGCTCAGGGAACTCCAGCACAGGTAGTATGATAGTTCAAAAGATGTTTTCCTTGGCCTTGCTTTTTGTTGTGCTGGTGGTTGTTTCTTCAACATCCTGCGTCTTCAGGGCTGTCAGCCATTAGGCAGTGCACAGGCATTTTGTTTGCAGCAGCAGCCGTGTTTTTCCCATCACAGTCAAACTGACACATTGTTGCAAAGTTGGTCAATCTCAACTTCCCCTCTTGATTTAAGAAGATGGGGGAAAATAAGCAAGGGCTGAGTCATAACCACATATTTCTCCTCTATCCCAGAGGTCACAGCAAAAGGGCGTGGGGCGCCAGAATTGCAAGGGTCCATCTGGTTTCCAGATGCACTTTCCCCTGCTTCACTTCACTCTGGTGGAAAGATGGTACAGCCCCTGGCCTGGGGCATTTCCCTCTTATTTCCTGACGAATGCATCCAGCTCATGAGTCTGGTAGGCAGCTGCAAGTTGATTCCCAGTGTCACCTTTTCAATCAGTCCTCATTGTTTCGGATTTAGCAAATAGTGCTTGTTGGTTTTGGCATGAGGGAGTTCCCTAGTTTTTGCAGTTTTCTGTTTTGCTTCTTTGAATTTATTTCAGGGGTTCCGGGGATACTAGTTGTGTAAAGGGACATGCATTCTGCCTGTGGAAGTTCCTTATAGCAGGACTTCTCAACTTCTTTTGTATAATGGACCTCAGTTCAGAATATCATGCAGAAAACTCCGAAGGAGAACGATTATGTTGAAATAGTTATCAAGATATTTTAAAAGCACATTTGTAATAACATATATGCTTCTTTATTGATTCATTAAATAATGAGAACTAACAAGAGGTCTAATATAACTACTATAATTTCAAAATAATAGTGATGAGCAAAACAATGTTTTTTGAGATATTGATAATAACTATAATGCTATAAGAAAATATCTATGACACATTTATTTCCATCTTGTGGTCTGAAAGTCTCATGTCACAGAAAGCTAGCTGGGTCTGCCTAGCTTTTAACTCGTCAGCTGATTTGTATAAAAGACCCCTAAGCTCTTTCTTCTATGCGATGGAAGGGCCACGGGAACACCAGTGTTGGGCTGTGCTTAGGGCATCAATTGGCCTTAATGTGTCTTTGCAGTGAAGCAGCCTACCTTGCCATTGCTGCCCCCTCTCCCCAATAACTTTTGAACAAAATTGTTCAGGAAATGAATTGTTCAGGAAACTTTCCCTTCGAACCTGCTCCGTGAAGAAAGAATGATAAGTCAGGATCCCCTCCCCGTTTTTTTAAAGCACAGTTAGGTAATAAAAAGTCTTGTGGTCACTTTAAATAGCAAACACACACGTTACCTGGTTAGGTAATCGAAAATACTAATTTCAATATATAATGCAGCACACCAATTGCCCTTCAAGTATGACACTCCTTCCCTGTCTCTCTGGCTTGAACAAAGTTTCAGGCAGACCATCTCCTTCAGGGAAAGGATGTGACCATTTTCTTCTTTCTCTATCCTCATCCCCCAGTTTGCTGACCCCATTTCTGCCCCTCCTGGGGTATAACAAGGAGAGAAAAGAGAGGAAAGCAGGTAGGGAAATTTCTTGTTAGCCTAGCCCTATTGTCAGATATCTCAAGCTCCCTGGGCTAAAAGATGTTGAAAACACTCTTTCCTTCATGCACAAGAGGCCTCAAGGCAATGTCCCTTGGCTCCTTGGCTCCACTCCACACAGGTCACTCTTTATGGATATCCTATCACCCTTCCAGGTGGTCCCTTGGGACAGACTATCTCTCCTGTGACCTGCATCTGGTCCATGGGAAACACTAACACATCTTCAGGCCTAGATTCCTCAGGAATCTACTCCAGGTGGTTTCATTAAAGGCTCATCCCAGCAGATATGAATGTGGGGTGGGGCAGGCTTCCACCTACGCCAGAGGGAGGCAGGGTGGGAAAATCACAGCACAATTTTTTAAATTTTATTCACACAACAGTATAATTCACATGCCATGTAATTTACCTGTTTAAAGTGTACAATTCAGTGTTTCTTAGTATAGTCACAGATATGTGCAACTGTCACCACAGTTAATTTCAGAACGTTTTTATCACCACAGAGAGAAAACTTGTACCTTTACCATTACTCTCCTGTCACCCCATCCTTCCAACCCTAAACAACAAATAATCTCATTTCTAACGCATCCTCTCTGTAGATTTACCTATTCTAGACATTTGGAATAAATGGAATCACCTAATATTTTTTTGTGATTAGCCTCTTTCTCTTAGCGTAATGTTACAGTGTTCATCCATGGTGTAGTATGTGACAGTACTTCATTCCCGTTTGTGGCCAAGTAATATTTGATTGCATGGATATACCACATTTTGTTTATTCATTCATCTGTTGATGGACATTTGGGTTGCTTCCACTTTTTGGCTATTGTGAATAGACTGCTATAGACATTTGTGTACAAGTTTTTGTGTGAATGTTTGTTTCTTTTGGGTATATACCTAGTAGTGGAAATACTAGGTCATATGATAATTCTATACTTAACTTTTTCAGGAACCATGAAACTGTTTGCCATAGTGGCAGCACCATTTTACATTCCCATCAGCAAATGTATGAGGGTTCCAATTCTCTACATCCCTACACTGTTATTTTCTGTTTGATTTTTGTTTTATTATTGCCATCCTATTGGGTTTGAAGTAGTTTTTATTTGTGTTTCCCTAATGTCTAATGATATTGAGCATCTTTTCATGTACTCATTGGCCATTTTTATATCTTCTTTGGAAAAATATTTATTTGAGTTTTTTGCCCATTTTTTAGTTGATTTGTTCGTCTTTTTGTTGTTGAGTTTATATATTCTGGGTATTGGACCCTTATCAGATATGTGATTGGCAAATAGTTTCTCCCATTCTGAGGTTGTCTTTTCACTTTCTTGATAGTGTTCTTTGATGCACAAAAGTTTTTAATATTTATGAAGTTCCCTTTATTTTCCCTTTTGTTGTTTCTGCTTTTGGTGTTATATCTAAGAAACCATTGCCAAATTTGAAGTTGTGAAGATTTACTCCTGTATTTTCTTCTAAGAGTTTTATTGTTTTAGCTCGTACATTTAGGTCTTTGATCTTTTGAGTTAACTTTTGTAAAGGGTGTGAGCTAAGGGTCCAGATTCATTCTTTAGCATGTAGCTATCCAGCTGTCCCAGTACAATTTGTTAAAAAGACTGTTCTTTCCACATTGAATGGTCTTGGCATCTTTATCAAAAATCAGTTTTCCCTAGACAGATTGGTTTATTTCTGGACTCTTACTTCTATTCTACTGGTCTATACAGCTATCTTTATGCCAGTACCACTCTCTCTTGATTACTCTTGCTTTGTAGAAAGTTTTGAAGTATGAGTCCTCCAACTTTGTTCTTCTTTTTCAAAGTTGTTTTGGCTATTCTCGGTCTCTTGAAATTCCACATGAATTTTAGAATCAGCTTGTCAATTTCCAAGGAGAAATCAGCTGGGATTCTGACAGAGATCACACTGAATCTATGGATAATTTCAGGAGTATCGCCATTTTAACAGCGTTTACTCTCCCAGTCCATGAACATAGGATGTTTTTCCATTCATGTAAATCTTCTTTAATTTCTTTAAACAATATTTTGTACTTTTCTGATTATAAATTTTACACTTTTGTTAAATTTGTTCCTAAGTATTTTATTCTTTTTAATGCCATTTTAAATAAAATTTTCTTAATTTTTGGATTGTTTGTTACAAGTATATAGAAATATAACTGATTTTTGTATGTTGATCTTGTATCCTGAAACCTTGCTAAACTGACTTATTACTTCTAATACTTTTTTAGAGAATTCCTTACAATTTCTATGTAGAAGATTATGTCATCCTTGAATATAGTTTGACTTCTTTTTCAATCTAGATGCCTTTTATTTCTTTTTCTTGCCTAATTGCCCTGCCTAGAACCTCTATTATAATGTTGAATAGAAATGAGAGAGTGGACATCCTTGTCCTGTTTTTGATCTTAGGGGGGAAACACACATTTTTAAATTCTTTCAAAGTCTTTATCCATCTCTGTTCTCCTGAAGCTTTCACTTTTATGTAATCCTAAATTGTTTTAGAACCATATGACTGGTTTTTTTAATCGCATCCTGAAGAATATCTGTAAGGTGCCCTTACACCTCACTTTGGAATTTTATATGTGTTGTATATTGTCACCAATACCAAAGTCTCCAATGTAACAATGTCTTACATCCTGTTTCAGAATTATTCACCACAAATTTGGCCAAATATAGGCCATCCCAGAAAAGAGGAGAACAAGAGATATCTTTCTTCCTTCCAGTGAACTGTGTGCACTTAAAGCAGTAACATTTTGGTGAGAGATATCAAATTTTCTCTCCGTTGCTGGTGAAATGACAGCATTGTGTAACATTTCCCCTCCACTGGATAAAATGCATCACGATTGCCTACACTAAAGGAATGCTTATATTCAGCTAACATGTAGAAACACATCTGGGGTACTTATACACAGTTATTAGGCAATGTAAGTAGTTTCTACTCAGAAAGCCAGAAAATGTCTATTAGTGTGAATGACATGTTTTAGTAACTAATAAAACTCCAAACACAAAAAAGAATAAAAATGTTCAGTATAAAAGAAAGATAGTGTGTGCCTTCCTCATTGTTACCCCAGATAGGTCCCTGGATTCATACACCGGTTTAGCACCTTAGCCACTTCCCTTTTTTGGGTTTTGGAGAACATGACACCAGCTGAATTAATATGGACACCTGCTAACCAGGTGAAGTTGAGTTTCAGTCCATTTTAACAGATAGCACTGCCCCAATTGCCACAGGGTACAGCAGTCTGTTCTTTGAAAGGACTAGGGATGCTTCTGAGCCAGAAGTCAAAGTGTGTCGTTGGTGTAGGATCACAAAGGGAAGTTTTATTTTCATTTTCTTAGTAACAAATTGATTATGAAGAATGGGAATTTGGTAAAACACAAAAAGTGTGCCTTGTTATTGCTGTGGATAAAATGTATTCTTATTAGGGAGAGCAGCAGTATCAAACTACCTGAGTTCCAAACCCTATAGGTGTGCAGTGTTTTTTTGTTTTCGGGATACAGCACAGATGTATAGCAAATGATGGATGGTTTCGTACCATGTGCCTGGACCTAGCAAGATGTTGGAATTGTTCACACCTTTTACACATAGACTTTTGAGAGTAAAGAAGAAGGATGATAAAATTGCACCAATCATATTCATTTTTATGTCAAGAGGAGAGAAGTGGGGGTCGGCCAGATGGCATAGTGGTTAAGTTCATGTGCTCTGTTTGGGCAGCCCAGTGTTCACGGGTTTGGATCCTGGGCACGGACCTACACACTACTCATCAAGTCATGCTGCAGCGACATCCCACATACAAAATAGAGGAAGATTGGCACTGATGTTAGCTCAGCGACAGTCTTCCTCAAGCAAAAACAGGAAGATTGGCAAGAGATGTTAGCTCAGGGCCAATTTTCCTCACCAAAAAAAAAGAGGAGAGAAGTGTAACAAATGCCTAGTATAACCTATCATTGGGACAAGGAAGACAACTTGGGGAAAATATACTAAGCCAGACTATTTCTTTAAACTGTTTTAAAGCTTTCTTATATCCACTGAGTACAAGGACTCACCGGTGACATTTGGGTGCACTTTTTCTTTCTCTTCAAAACTTAGCATAAAACAGAGTTCTAGGAGAGCCTAGGGCCAGCCTCAAGGGAAGAGGAACCAGCACGTGAGCCGGGACTGAGAGACTGTCACCAGCTCAAGAAGAAGACAGCACGTGGATTCCTCGGAGACCAGTTTCCCCAACACACACCCTGTGTACATCTCTTCTGTAACACGTTTTGTTTGCAAAATGTCTAAATTTTAAATGCAGGTTTATTTGTCTTCCAATTCCACATCAGTTGCCTTATGAACGATGGTTGAATAAACCAATAAACAAGCACAAGAAGACAAAATTTTATCTAAGACTTTGTGAAAGAGCTTTTCTACAATTTTCAACTTTCACTGCTCCGTGTTGTAGATAGGTGGGCCAGTGGAAAATCTGAGATTTCTGTACAGTCATGTGTCACTTAATGATGGGGATACATGCTGAAAAATGCATCATTAGGCAATTTCATTGTTGCGAGAACATTATAGAATGTGCTTACACAAACCTGGATGGTGTAGCCTACTACACACCTAGGACGTACGGTGTGCAGCCTATTGCTCTTAGGCAAACCGGTATGGCACGTTACTGTGCTGAATACTGTAGGCAATTGTAGCACAATGGTAAGTATTGGTGTATCTAAACACATCTAAACATAGAAAAGGTAAGTAAAAATATGATATAAAAGATAAAAAATAGTACATCTGGATAGGGCACTTACCATGAATGGAGCTTGCAGGACTGGCAGTTTCTCTGGGTGCGTCAGTGAGTGAGTGGTGAGTGGATGTGAAGGCCTAGGACATTACTGTGCCCTACTCTAGACCTTATAAACACTGTACATTTAGGCTGCACTAAATTTATTTTTAAAAATTTTCTTTCTTCAATAATAAATTAACCTTAGCTTACTGTAACTTTTTTTTACTTCGTAAACATTTTAATCTGTTTTTAACTTTTTGACTCTTTTGTATTAACACAGCTTAAAACATAAACACATTGTACAGTTGTACAAAAATGTTTTCTTTCTTTATATCCTTATTCTGTAAGCTTTTTTCTATTTTAAAAATTTCTTATTTTATTTTTTTTGCTTTTTAAACTTTTTTGTTAAAAGCAAAGACATAAACACACACATTAGCCTAGGCCCGCACAGGGTCAAGATCATCAACATTACTGTCTTCTACTTCCACATTTTGTCCCACTGGAAGGCCTTCAGGGGCAATAACATGCCTGAAGCTGTCATCACTTATGATAACAATGCCTCCTGAAGGACCTGCTGGAGGCTCTTCTTGAGGAGGTGTCACTCTTTTCAGAAATAAGTCCATGGTGGTTTGCTTGGTTTCTTTCTTTCTTTCATGATAGATTTGCTTGTAAGCAGACGATGCACCATGAACATTTCTCTTTATTAATGAAAACCTTTCTGTGCTGTGGTCTATGTTTTCAAACTTTACAAGGACCTTGGTGAGGTCTGCAAACCTTCTGCTAAACCCTTTACTGTGAATTTTCTTGGGAGTTATTTTTTTTTCTTCTCCTGCAGTTTCCTTTCCTCTTGCCTATCCTTCTCCTGTGTGGTCCTGTTCCAGTTCCAACAGCTCCTCATTAGTCAGTTCCTCAGGAACCACCCTTAGGAGCTCCTCAATTTCATCCTCATCCACATCCAGGCTAAAGTTGTTTGCCATCTTAACAATAGCCTTGTTGATTTCGCAATGTCCTCATCCTTGGAAAATCCTTTGAAGTCAAGGCCGAACCTCTTGAGTGTCTTCTTCCAAATGCCATTCATAAATTCCTTGATGACATTACCCTAAGCCCAATCAAAATTCTTGATATAGTCATAGATGTTGTGATCCTTCCAGAATTGCATTAGTGTCTTCTCAGGGACTTCCTCAGTTGTAGCAATAGCCTGGGCAAATGCCCTCCTCAATAAGTAGGCCCAAAAGCTGCTATAACTCCTTGATCCATTAATTGAATCAAAGGAGTGGTGTTTGGAGGGGAACTACCATTTTGATATTGGCAGGAAAATCACCAATAAAAGGAGGATGTCTGGGAGCATTATCAACAATAAGCAAAATTTTGAAAGGTATGTTATTCTCTAAACAGTACTTCTCCATTTTGCTGGCAAAGCAATTGAGGAGAGCAACTTGGAAGATGAGCTAGATCATCTTCCTTCTTATTGCTCCTCTGGGTTATCGTGGCTTCTCATTGCTCCTCTGGTACACTGGCAGTGGTATTGACTTGGCCTGCTTATGGATGAAAGTCCTTTCAGGCATCCGTTTCTGGAATAGGGAGGTTTCATCCATATTGAATATTTGCTCTGGCAAGTAATATTCCTCCACAATCAGGTTATCCAGAGTTTCCAAAAATTCTTCAGCTGCATTCACATCAGCACTCGCAGACTCACCACTCACTTTCACAGTATGCAATGAATAACGATTTTTAAATCGTTCAAACCACCCAGTGCCGGCAACAAATTCAACATTGTAGTCAGCTCTAGTCTTTTCTTTCAACATAGCAAAAAAACTTTTTGCTTTGGCCATGATTGTCATGTTACTGAGAGGGATACACTTCTGTGTCTGGTCTTCAATCCATGTCATTAAAAGTCTCTCCATGTCTGATATGGGCCCTTCTCGAATTTTTGTTAGTCTCATTGCCTTCAATGAAGCAGATCCTTTAACAGCTTCCATCACTTTGTTCTTGTTCTTAGATCACAGTTATGGTAGAATGGGACATACTTGACTGATGAGCAATAACCATCATTGATTTTCCACCTTCATAGTCCTTAATCACTTTTAATTTTGTTTCTAGGTCAATCACTCCACATGGCCTCCTACTGACAATGTTAGCAGTGGAGTTCGTATGTTAGGGCCCATGATGAACAAAACAACATGAGATTAAATCAAGCACAAGACAAAATGATGCAATCAAGAGATGTGGTAAACACAAGATATATGAGGCTTACTGCTGGCTTAACACAGCGTATTGTTTTACAGTAAACTTTTTTTTTATAAGTGGAAACAATACACTCTAAAATAACAATAAAAAGTACAGTATAGTAAGTACATAAACCAGTAACATAGTCATTTATTATCATTACTAAGTACTATGTACTATACATAATTGTATGTGCTATACTTTTACACTACTGGCATCACAGTACGTTTGTTTACACCAGCATCACCACAAACACGTGAGTAATGCCTTCCACCACAACTTTACAATGGCTACGACATCACCAGGCAATAGGAATTTTTCAGCTCTATCATAGTCTTATAGGACCACATCATGTATGTGATCTGTTGTTGAGCAAAATGTCATTGTGTGGCACATGCCTCTACTTTAAGAACAGCCCATTTGGGGAGAACTACTAGCCAGGCCCAAGGAGAACTCAAACTTGTTTTCAGAAGCAACTAAAAGTGACAGGTTACGAGGAAACAAAAGGGTCCGGAGAATGAAAAGAGATGAATAAATGCAGATATGTGTGGCTCAGAAATAAGTGAGAGACTCTGTGCCTCAATGGACAAACACCTTAATCATCACTGTTAAGAGCCTGGGGTTGGCTCTGCAATTGTTAGAGAAATGGAATGGAGCAGACCCAGTCTTTCAATATATTAATACCAGATGAAATAAGGAAAGGAATTCATAGGTTTAGGTGATTCTATGCTCTGAAAAACAAAAGGAATTAAAGAAAAATTGGATCAAAACAGGGTCCTTTTCTTCTCACTCATTTTTTCCCTAACTGGTCTGCCATACCACCCCAGAGCCATTCCTTTCATTGATTGATACCGTGATTCAACAAGCATTTATACACATACCCACATGCACACACACAAGAATTTATTGACACTTACTCTGTACCAGACACTGTTCTTATGTTAAGGATATTATAAAACAGTGAATGTCATGCTTCCTGAACTTTGGGAGTTTACAGTCAGAATCAGTAGAGGAAACTGTCATAAATGAAGCAGTTGTGGAACAATGTGAGTTATTGGGGTTACTCTGTGGGAGATGATCACCCTGCCTGGCAACCTGCATGTGTCTTGCCAGGTTGCTCTCCTCTGGTTGACAAGAGCACTTCAGACCTTTCTCCTACCCTATAAGCTGCCAGTCATGCTGCCCACCCCTTTTCAAAGTAGGAGGCGAGATAAACAAAATAAAACCACACAGCAGCCCCTCCCAGGACCTCTCACCAGCAGATATGGACATAATCATGAGCTGTCTGGTGAAAAGGCAGGAGCTGCCCTGACTCCATCTCTCTTCTTCCTCCCAAGTGGACTTTAGGTCACAAAGTTCCTCCCTTACCCCAACCTTCTTGAGAATTTCCATTAATGTGTGTTCCTTAGCATATTCCATTTTTTTTTCTCTCAACTGGATTCTTCTCACAGGTCTTAAACTTGCTCATTTTAAACTCCTTTCTTGATTCCATATCCTTCTGTAGCTACTCTCTGGCCTCTTTTCCCCTCTTTACAGCCAAACTTCTCAGCAGTCGTCTCCTTTTTCTACTTTCTGCTCACTCTTCATCTTGCCTGATCTCTGTAAAGTTGACATGGTGACTATTCACTCCATTTTGAAACAGACTCTCTCTTTCCTTCTTTTTTTTTTGGCACCACATTCCCTTAGTTTTCTTTCTATCTTTGTAGTCATTTTTTTCTTTCCCTTTTTTTTTAAAGACTCATCATCCCCTAGCTGGCCATCAAACGTTGGAGTTCCTTAAGGCTATTCCCAGGCTTTCTCTTCTTATGCATCTTGTCACCCTGGATAATTTCAGCCATGGTAAGAATTTTAATCACTACCTATATCTAGATGCTTCCTAATTTATAACTAAAGCCCAGATCTCCCATATGAAATTCAGACCTGTGTATCCATTTTCCTTCTTGTCATCTTCACTATGATCTCCATCTTAGGGAGGGGCACCCCACCTTCTAGTAGCAAACCAAAACCTAGGAGTCATTCCAGACATCTTCCACTCTCTCATCTAGTATCCAAGTCTTGTCAGGTTTGTCTCTAAATCAAATAATCTCCTCCCCTCTCACCACATTCACTCCCTGCTGTCAGCGGCCATCACTCTCTTCTGGACTACACAGTGAACTCCTGTTTCAACCTATTCCCTCATGCAGAAACCTTTGAAAAATAGAACCCTGATTTCATCCCCTCCCACTAAAACACTTCTTATTGATTTCAGGAAAAAGACCAATGCGCTTCCCTGGATGCACAGCGTGTTCCTGCTCTACGTAATTGTACAGCCTCCTCACAAACCAGGCTTCGCTTACTCTCCGTACTCTGGCCATACTTGATTACTCCCTCCTGCCACCAAAGCTTTGCTTATG